TTCTCTCTGTCTCTCTCTCTCTCACTGTCCACTCCGCCTGTCGAAAAATTAAAAAAAAAATTCTCATTTGCAAATCAAAGTTTCCCAACTTTTTTCCTCCTTGCCATCACTACTCTTCACTTCCTTCTTTACCAAATGGAAATACATATGTTTCTATTTCTTATTTGTGTGATTAGTATCAGTCAGGACTCTTGGTTGCAAGCAACAGACATCAACAATGGTCAGTTTTAAAAAGAAAAGAAAATTTTCCTAAGTATTTTAGGCCCCTCAAGAACTACCAAATGTATGGAGATCAAGCTCATACAACATGAAGAAACTTAGAGAAGACAAATAACTGATGCCATAGCCCAGGCCACAACACCAGAACTGCCTGGCTTGGAAGCTGCTGCCCCCAAATGGATTCTGGACACTGCCACCAGCACCACTGCCAATGGAAATTGCATACATGCCCATGGCTGAAATCACTGGTGGAATAAGCTCAGCTATTTCCATCTTTTTGAAGCACTTGCTGTTGATTCAAAACCAAACCCTGACCAGCCAAACTTGGGGTGAGGCGGGCAAGCTCCAAAGCTTTTGGACTTTTGTAAAGGGAGTCTGGGCCCTCATCCACCAAGATCCCTGCATGAGATTCTCGAACCAGGAACGTGGTTCAGATGCTAGCCTGGTCAACAGAGGCTCAGAGCCTAATCAATCCTGAAGTCTTGATGTTAGAGATCCAGCTCTGCTGGATATAGACACTTGTCACAATTTCACAAGTCACTTGCTCACTGACCTGTTTCTCAGGCCCTGAGAAATAAAAACATGGATCTGAGGTCTTGCTCATGTATGCGAGATATAAATGGGCAGCATCTGCAGTACTTAAGGATGAAAAGTGGCCAGCTTTCTCCACGCAGGGGCAAGAGGAAAGTCTTGTGTATGGAACAGAGGATGAAGAAAGAAGCTGTGGCAAAGTTTGCAACTCATGATGGAGCCAGACGGAGAAGGAGTAGGGCATAGGATCCCAGCAAAGTGGAGCTCCTGGCTTGTGATCACTACACGTCCACTTGTCCAACCCATGGGGCCCAAGGAAAATCCTGAGGCCTGCAGGTGCACCTTCATAAGCAAGGAACAGCAGGAAATAGCCTAATCTACATAATTAACACTGGATAATACTACTTAACATGTGTCTTATACTCCACAAAGTGCTTAGATATGCCAGTGCACCATGCTGATCTGATGGCATAGGATCTTATCATACTGATAAGACCTCTAAGATAAGTCATATTAAATTTTTAGTAGTCTTATAACTACCCCTATATCAAAGAGGAGTTATCTGAGGCTCAAAGATGTTGTTTAACTCACTCACTGCCACATAGTAAGTGGTAGAATGTGGATTTGAACTTGGGTAGTTTGACTTCAGGGTCCCTAGTCTGGAATTTTCTCCTTTTCATTAGGAAACACAAGCTGAAGGTACAGTTTGGAGACCACTGTCATGTTTTGCACAACTATTCAGTTTGGCCCCCTGCATTGAGTATGTAAAAGCTGTATTACATAATGGGCTATACCAATTTATATTTCCACCAACAGTGTAAAAGGGTTCCCCTTTCTTTGTAGCCTAATCAACACCTTATCTTTTGTCTTTTTGATAAAATTTAAGTATACATGAGGTGATATTTTATTGTGGTTTTAATTATTGTTTCCCTGATGACTAGTGAAGTTTACTTTTTCCTACACATGTTGGACATTTGTATGTCTTCTTTGAGAAATGTCTTTTCAAGTCCTTTGCCTATTTTTTAACTGTATTATTTGTTTTCTTGCTATTGAGTTGTTGGAGTTCCTTCTATATTTTGGATGTTATTCCCTTGTCAGATGTATGGTTCCCAAATATTTTCTCCCATTCTGTAGATTGTCTCTTCACTCTGTTGGTTGTTTCCTATACTGCATACAGGCATTTCAGTGGCTTTGGCTTTGTTATTTTTGTTCAAGAATGCTTTGGCTATTTGAGGTCTTTTGAGGTTCCCTATGAATTTTAGGATTTTCTCTCTATTTCTGTGAAAAATGTCATTGGCATTTTGATATAGACTTCATTAATCTGTAGATTACCTTGGATAGTGTGGGCATTTCTACAATATTAATTCTTCTTATTCTATGAGCATATCTTTCCATTTGTGTTTTCTTCCATTTCTTTCATCAATGTTTTGTAGGTTTTAGTGTACAGATCTTTCACATCTTTGATTAAATTCATTCCTAAATATTTTATTTGTTGATGCTTCTGTAAATTGGGTTGTTTTCTGGATTTATTTTTTAGATAGTTTATTGTTAGCTTATAGAAATGTTACTGATATTTTAAAAAAGATTTATTATATATATATTTTTTATATTTGAAAGGCAGAGTTAGAGAGAGAGACAGAGAGAGGGCCCTTCCAACTGCCAGTTCACTCCCCAAATGGCCACAATGGCTGAGACTGGCCAAGACAAAGAGTTAGGAACTTCATCTGGGTCTCCTACAAGGGTGCTGGGGCCCAAGGACTTGATCCACTTTCCATTGCTTTCCTAGGTGAATTACCAGGGATCTGGATCAGAAGCAGAGCAGCTGAGTCTTGAACCAGCACACATATGGGATGCTGGCACTGCAACTGGTGGCTTAACCTGCTGTGCCACAACACTGGCCCCAAAACACTGTTGTTTTCATGTTGATTTTGTAATCCACAACTTTATCAAATTCGGTTCCAACAGGTTTGGGTTTTTTTGTGGAATCCTTTGGGTTCTGTAATATCACCTCATTTACAGAAACAATTCAACATCTTCCTTTCTGATTTAGATACCTCTTATTTCTTTGTCTTACCTAACTGCTCTGGCTAGAACCTCCAATTCTATGTTCAATAGAAATGGCAAGAGTAGGCATCTTTGTTTTGGTCCTGAGCTTAGAGGAAAAGCTTTCAATTTTTCATTACTGAGTAAGATGTTAGCTGCAACACTGTGTTGGGTACATCCCTTCCTTTAAAAAAAGATTTATTTATTTATTTGAAAGAGTTACACAGAGAGAGGAAAGGCAGAGAGAGAGAGAGAGAGAGAAAGAGGTCTTCCATCCGATTGTTCTCTCCCCAATTAGCCACAACAGCCAGAGCTGCACCAATCCGAAGCCAGGAGCCAGGAGCTTCTTCCGGGTCTCCCACGCAGCGGCAGGGGTCCAAGATCTTGGGCCATCTTTCAGTGCTTTCCCAGGCCATAGCAGAGAGCTGAATTGGAAGTGGAGCAGCCAGGATTCAAACCGGCACCCATATGGGATGCCGGCACTGCAGGCAGGGCTTTACCCACTATCCCATAAAGCCAGCTCCAGGGTACATTCCTTCTATATGCAATTTATTAAGAGTTTTTTTTTTTAATTACAAAAGAATATTATAATGTAGCTAATGCTTTTCATGCATCCATTGATATGATTATACAGGTTCCTGAGCTAATTTAAAATAAAACTACCATATGATCCAACAATTCCATTTATGGACATACATCTAAGGGAAATGATCAGTAGGCTGAAGAGATAGCTACACTCAATGCAGAATATTCACAATAGCCAAGACATGGAATCGATATAGGTAACCATCAAATGATGAATGAATGAAGAAAATGTGGTGTATATACACAATGAAATACTACTCAGCCTCTTAAAAAAATGGAAATCTATCACTTTCAATGATCTAGAAGCACATAAAGAACATTATGCTAAGTGAAATAAGTCAGGCATAAGAAGATAAATACTGGGGCCGGCGCTGTGGTAAAAGCCCTGGCCTGAAGCACCAGAATCCCATATAGGCATTGGTTTGAGTCCCGGCTGCTCCTCTTCCAATTCAGCTCTCTGCTATGGCCTGGGAAAGCTGTAGTAGATGGCTCAAGTTCTTGGGCCCCTGCACCCGCATGGGAGACCCTGAAGAAGCTTCTGGATCCTGGCTTCAGATCAGCTCAGTTCTGGCCATTGCAGCCATTTGGGGAGTGAACCAGAGGATGGAAGACCTCTCTCTCTCTCTCTGTCTCTACTTCTCTCTGTAACTCTTTCAAATAAATAGAAATAAATTTTTAAAAAATAGAAGATAAATACTTCACGATCTCACTTATGTATGGACCTTGAAAAGTCAAACTCATAGAAGCAGTGAGCAAAATGAGTTACCAGGGGCTGAGGGGAGTGGGGAGATAATGGGAAAATGGTCAAGGGATACCAAATTTCAACTAGACAGTTGGAGTTAAGTTCGGGAGAGCTATTGTACATTATGGTGTCTATAGTTGATAACAATGTATTGTATGCTTAAAAATTACTAAGAGAATAGATTTCAAGTATCTCAGCACAAATAAGTAATAGATTTGCTAATTAGTGTGATTTGGCCATTCCACAATGTGTGTGTGTGTGTGTGTGTGTGTTTTTACAGTTTGCTTCACAAAGGCAGTTACACAGGCATGATGGCCAGCGGAAGTGAGCAGTACAGCGACTAATTCTGCTCATTGTTCTGTTCTAATTCTCTTCATTTCCTGATTTCTCCTGTAGGTGTTCAGATCAGTGTACCCTCCTCTGTTGAACAAACCACTCACACTCGCTATCCTTATGTTGCTTCATGATAAAACAAGAGGGTTTAACTAAAGAGTCTATCGCAAAGGCCCTTTCCAATTTTAAAATGTAATAGATATAACATTGTCCAGACACTGAGCCATCCTCTTAGGTGTAATAGCCAGGGGTTCAGACTGGCAAGCCCATCAGCCATCCCCAGTCATGTAGCCCAAAAAGGCCATGACCGTGACCTCACTGTCTCTATGTCCAGCCACTGATACCCACAGAGCACACCTGCCTTGAACTCCAGTTCAAAAAAGACCTGAAGAAGAAGAGCTGAATTCCATTAAATGAACAGATTTCTACTTCTGTAAGGATTAAGTCAAAATCCCTAAAAATGTAGAAACACGTTCCAAAGCATATAGGAAAAGATTAATCAAGTGGGGTTTGGTTGCCTTTTGCTGATGTGAGTATTCTGCCCTAGGGAGAAGCAAAAATGATGAAAGATGGGAAGGTCTTCAGAGTGGTCCAAGAGAACTGCTGGGATCCAGAAGTGCGAATTAGAGAAATGGATCAAAAAGGTACTCGTGATGAGAAATGCTACCAATATTTGCATCTGATGGAAAAGCAACGTCTGCTCTTAAAGTCGTCTGGCCAGCCTGCATGATTTAGGTGGTGACAATTAACGAGCCCCTTTTTTTCTGCCAGGCCAGGCTGTTCTGGCTTCACTAGGGAAGAAGAGAGCCTTCCGCCACAATGCTTTTAGAGTGTGGATTTAAAGTGTTTTTAAGTCAGTTAGACTCTGCCTTAAAATAGTCTATACTATCAAAAAGATAAAAATGGTATTTTATTATTTAAAACATTTTTAAGTTCAAATTATAGACTTATCATAGAAGCAATTAAATGACTAAAAATTAGAAAGCACAGATGAAGCGTGCCAATTTCCTGCCTCGCCAGACTTAGGATCCCATTCCTTTCTGTAATTTTTCCTGGTGAACTACATACAGAACAGCCCTGATGACACAGAAAGAGTGGAAGCAGAGGCAATTAAAAAAAAAGTTAATTAATTGTGTACCCTCAGAATACTGTACAATGGAATCAGTCCAGAAATTTGAAAGAAGAGGAGGAAATTTTTGTTTCAAAGCTGAGTCACTGACTATTTCAAAGAACCACTTGTATTCCTTATATTTAAAAACCAACTAAGTCACCACAATTTCAAAGAATTTCAAAGTCTACCTAAAATAAGATGTGATGACCCTGTTATGCTTACACTTATTACTCCCTGGCTGACTGTGCTCTCTCTATTATTTTTAACAGTTAGCACTGGATTTAAGTGGCATTCAAGTGCACTTTACAGAAAGCCTATAGCAGCTCTGTAGACCATTCCACAGAACACAGTGTATGTAGCCCTGTTCTAAAAGTACATTGGGTTTGGAGGGGAGCTAGAAAAAGAACATGATTTCCAGACCTAGTTATTCCAGATCACAGAACTCCATCCAGGCCCACTTGGGAGCTTAATCAAATGCACAGGGAAGGTGACTGAGTAACACACTCTGCTATGCATGACCTGAAACAACTGGTGAAGAAATGTGCTGCTTCAGAAAGATGTTACAGGAAGGAGGGTAAAAATTAACCCTTGGCAAATGGGATCAATTAAGTTTTTCTGGAAGGGTCTCATGTTCGTCCTCCCTTCACGCCTCTCCCTAAAAGCTGGAGCTGAGAGGTAAGGGAGACCTGGGAAAGGGCCTGAAAGAAAGGGTGGGGAGCAGCAGCAAGGAGGGGCGGGCAGGAGGAGGCTGGGTGGAGGTTTGCAGGCCTCCTGTTCTAGAGTTCTAGAAAAGACAGAAAAAGTGCCCAGGTTGTTCTTCTCACCAGCTTTGCCTTTCTTTGTGTCTGTGTCTAGGAGTAACGGTGCAAGCTCTTTCCACAGTTCCCATCATGTTTAGCTACTGGGTGAGTGTAAAACCCCACACCATCTCCTTGATCGTGAAAGCTCATGTCCAGCTCCCCAGCAAGTGGACAGATGCCTCAGTCTGCATGTTAGTCCTACCAAACCCCCATCAAATGTCCTCCCATCCAGAGACCAACAGGGTCCCTCAGCCTCTCACACTAGTGTCCCTTTCCTAGCCTGTCTTCTTAGCCATGGCCGTGCTCCAGCACGGCAGCCAGTAGTCACATGTTGCTATGTGACTCATGTTGGAATTCCACTGGCCAGCATGGTTCTAGCCCAGCCCCAATATCCCTCCAGAACTTGCCTCCTCATTCCAGACATGCTCTGCTGTGATTTTGGTGTGGGAACAACAATCATAGCCTAATGTGTTGCCTCTCTCAGGACATACACAGTTCAATAACAGAATTGGAGGCCTTCTGCCAAGTGAAGAAATCTCAAGTACTGACATTTCAGGCACAATTTCAAATCTGTGGAGAGACATTTTGTGCTGAGTGGAGCACACACTAAGCACCTGCTCAACCAAGCAGACAGTCATGCATGCTGTGACTTAAGGAGAATGGAAATATCACCTGCCCACAATACTTTCCTCACCTGTGTTCATAAATCCGGTGTTAATGACTCAGTCCTTATCCGTTCCTATGATAGAATCATTACTTATAATAACGTACCCCAGAAGTGGGTAGTTAGCCTAACGGTTAAAAGATCCATGTCCAATAATGGAGTACCTGGGTTGGATTCGCAGCTCTGGCTCCTGATTCCAACTTCTTGCAGTACAGAGCCTGGGAGGCAGTGGTGATCTCTCTATTAACTGGGTTCCTGACAGCCTGTGGGACACATGGATAGCGTCCACAGCTCCCAGATTCAGCCTCAGCCCAACCCCAGCTGTTGTAGGCATTTGGGGAGTGAACCAGTAGATGGGAGTTCACTCTGTTTCTGTCTCTGTTTCTCTCAAATAAAAATTTAAGTAAAATGAAATGTCCTTAGACTTCAAAATGCCTGAATTTACCAGACTCAGTACTATTCTGATGGGACAACTGGTACTGAGAAACGTATCAGATTCCCAGCCGTGGGGTGGGGACAATGGGGTGATGTTGAAAGGAAAGAAAACAATGAAGAAAGAAGTGAGGGGAACAAAAAGCAAAATTCGCCTCAGCATTTTTCTAGGACAACCCTGAGTGTCATAGCCAACAGCAAGGACAGGAAGGAGGACAGGCAGGGACAGAAAGGGTCGATAAGGCAGCCTGGCCTCCCTTAAGAAGGCAAGACAAGGAGGGGTCTTGACTGTGGCTTTGGGCACTTGGCCAGGCCCAGCCTCCTAGCCATAGGGAGGCCATGGAAGATCTGTTCATGGTTGGTAAACTCAGTCCACATGCAGCATGAGGATGCCTGGCTCAGCCTTCTGATTCCAGCCTCGATTTTTCTCATTAATCAGCAGTACAGTAGGTGCTTTCCTTGAAAGTGCAGTCTTTACAAAGACCAGCTTCTGGGTGATCTGTGCTTCAGTTCTCTGAGGAGCAAAGTCATGGAGAAGGATGAATACTTTAGCTAAGAAGGGGTAACGTCCAGAAAAAGTGTCTGAGGAAGTAGGTTTTGAAGATGTGCTTTTCCCTTTCCTGTCTCCACCAGGCCAAACCTCAGGACACTTTAGACTTGTGCCGGTTTTTAAATGATGACCTAGCTGCCACCATTGCAAGACACCCCAGGAGGTTTGTGGGTCTGGGGACACTACCCATGCAGGCCCCCGAGCTGGCCGTCAAGGAGATGGAGCGCTGTGTGAAGGAGCTGGGCTTCCCCGGGGTCCAGATTGGCTCCCACATCAATGAGTGGGACTTGAATGAGCGGGAGCTCTTCCCCATCTACACAGTGAGTAGCAGAACTCGCGTGGGCAATACACAGCTGCAGAACGCCCAGCAGGGGCACTGTACGGGGGGCTGACAGGAAGATGAAGGTGCCACCACTCTGGGAGGGAGACTGAGATGCCAATGACATTAGATCTGCTAAAACTCCCCCCAAAGGACCAGGGCATTCTATAGAAGTGCACTTCTGGGTGGAAACACTTCCTAAGCAAGGCCTAAGTTAACTCAGTGATGAAACCTCTCTTCTTTGGATCACCCTTGCTGTCTTTTTAATCTTTGATTTGGAAGTCCAGTTCCTCATCATAGCCACTATGCATAAGAACCTTGTTAACAGCATGCCCTACCCCCACCCCTCAAAGAAAAGAAAAACCACAGTATTTATTTTTGCTTTGAAAAAAAAACTAATACTTTTCCAAATTATGAAGTAATTTTTAAGAAACTAGAAGATACAGGCCAGCGCTATGGCTCACTTGGCTAATCCTCCCCCTGTGGCACTGGTACCCTGGGTACTAGTCCTGGTTGCTCCTCTTCCAGTCCAGCTCTCTGCTGTGACCCAGGAGGGCAGTGGAGGATGGCCCAAGTGCTTGGGTCCCTGCACCTGCATGGGAGACCAGGAGGAAGCACCCAGCTCCTGGCTTTGGATTGGCGCAGCGCCAGCCTTAGTGGCCATTAGGGAGTGAACCAACGGAAGGGAGACCTTTCTCTCTCTCTCTCTCACTGTCTATAACTCTCTTTCCCTCTCTCACTGTCTAACTCTGCCTGTCAAAAAATAAAAAAAAAAAGAAAAAGAAACTAGAAGATACAGAGAAGCAAACATCACCTATAATCCCACAATCCAAAAATAAGTAGCCACTGATAGTTTTTTATCTGTTTTTTATTTGCATATACCTATATTTTCATGAAATTGGAATTCTGCTACACATCTACTTTTGTATCCTAATTGAGAACTCCTAACCTAAATGAAAATTCTCTTAATGTATGATTTTAAATAACTGCAGAATATTCCAGTGTATGGATATGTTTTTATTTATTTAACCAATCATCAGTTTAAGTTTTAAGCCATATATTTTGAAAATGTATAAAAATATGCAATGAAAAATAATTCCATGAAAATGTTAACATCTGATGAAAGTAGATGGTGAATATATAGATGTTCATGGTACTATTACTCATGCTTTCTGTATTTAAAATATTTCATAGGAAAATATACTTTCAAAAGTCTATATCATCCTTTTCTGAAGCATACAACTTCAAGTATACATAGTCTTGTAGTCCTCCTCATCAGTCTCCATCAGAGAGAGAGAGAGAGAGAGAGGGAGCAAGCTTCCATCCACTGGTTCATTCCCCAAAAGCCCACAATAATCAGAGCTGGGCCAGGCCAAAGCCAGCAGTTCAGAACTCAATCCAGTTCTCAAAATGGGATGGCAGGGAGACATCACCTGCTGCCTCCCAGGGTGTACATGGGCAGGAACTGGATCAGAAGCAGAATAGCCAGGACTCAAACCAAGCACTCTGATATGGGACACGGGCATCCCAAGCAGCAGCTTAACCACTGCATGACACATCCGCACAGTCCCCTCTACTTTTTAATCTTTCTGTAACTAAAAGTGCTGTCCTCAGTACCAGGATTCAAGACACATAATTCTTAACTCAATTACATCATTAAACTTCTAACTTTTCTTTTAGAATTATAGTAGTGTCATTTTCTATTATTTTCATTGCAAATGCAAAATCTTTAGTAATGCATTAGATAGATGTTTGTGGACTAACCAAACACTGTAATCACTGATTTATTCATTTAATATTTATTGAGCTCTAACTATGTGCAAAAATTTATCCATGTTTGTATCTATGGTGACTGCCCACCAGTTGGGGACCTGCCTATTAAATTGCCTCCTAACGACCTGAAAGATTTAATGTTCCTCTAAATATTGAACTCCCTGATGTTTACTGGCTGCAGTGGCTTAGCTGATGCAGAGAATGTTTTCTGGAAACATTAATGAGCTTTGAAAGAGGATTTATTTACTTCTACATCCAAGTTGTTTCATCACAGTGTGAGAGAGACTTCAGCTGCAACTTGTTTTATTATTTATTGGAATTGGGTTTATGAATTGCTAAAAGGCTTAGAAAGCAACCCCAGCCAGTTGGAGTCCATATGGATATTTTCATTTGTGTGACTTGCTTGACTCATAGATTATTCTAACTAGGCTGTTGTGGGGGGCTGCCAGTGTCTGGGGGGATTCAAGAGCATGTCCTGGCCCAATTGACCCAGTTGACGTGTGATGTCCTGGAGCATGTCCTGGCCCAGTTAACCCAGTTGATGTATGATGTCCTGGAGTAGACAGCATGGTTGTTTGGTTAGCAAGGCTTACTGCCTCACTGCTCTCTAGCTTACGTCAGTAATGTGCTCAAACAAAGAAGAGAAATTACCATGAGCCAAGTTGGTTTTGTCATTTCAAGCTGAGCCTGGCACTCCAATGCATCTAACTACGCCCCTTATCTCCTAGAGTGCCCTTCCTGGTGAGTGAACCCAATCACACATGCTCAGGTCAGCATGAGGCAGACACAGTGGTAGCGCCAGAATTAGTTACCCAGCCTCTATCTGCCTCAGTTTTCTCCTCTGTAAAATGAGGGTAATAAGAGTTCTGCTCTGATAAAGGATTAATTAAAAAGTCTAACAGCTTTTGGTACATGATATGTTCTCAGTTAATGTGAGTTCTGATTCTGAGAGTTTAAGTCACTTCTTTTTGCTTTAGCTACAACCTGTCACAGTACACATGGAGATCAGAAATACTTGTTAATTTGAATTGAATAGAAATGAACCATTACAGGGACACATTATACAATTTTGTTTTGTTTTGCTTTTTAGTTTAAGGCAAAGTGACAAGAGAGTTGGAAAGATAGGGGCGGGGCAGCAGGAGGCAGAGAGAGATCTTCCATCCATTGGTTCACTCCCCAAATACCATAACATCTAGGAATGGGCCAGGCTGAAGCCAGGAGCCAGGAACTCCATCCAGGTCTTGCACATAGGTGGCAGGAACTCAAGCACTTGGGCTATCCTCCACTGTCTTCCACACACATTAGCAGGAAGCTGGATTGGAAGGGAAAGTAGTACTCAGTCCCAGGCACTCTGATATGGGATGCAAGTGTCCCAAGCAATGGCTGAGCCAGCTATGCCATAACACCTACCCCAGAATAAAGTTTTATCCTGATGAAGAGTCAAATCCCACTGATATACCATTATCACAGACCTTTGCCAAACCCAAACTGTCCCAAGAAGTCTATATACTCTTCCCAAACAGCATCCACCATCAGGCACCAGTTAGCTCTTATATTTCTTTTGCTCCCCAGAACCTGTTGAGTTAGGAGTCCCGTCTTCAGTCTACACTTTGTTTGCCACTTCCAGAATCCCTTGCTGTCCAAATTATTTTTCTATTTTAAAAATGCTTATTTACACAAGTCATATCGCATCAGCCTGATTAGCACAAATATTTATGTATGAAAGTAAAATGAATCACTCCAGCACTCTAATACTTACATATTTTGTTTTAGGGAAAATCTGTTTTGAATCTTTATAAGCTCTAATATTCAATGCCCACTGAGGGGACTTATTTTAATTAAACACTTGGTTGGATGAAGGTCACTCCATCCAGATGGTATTTCCATTTCTCAGAAGGCCCTGGAACAGGTTTGCCCATGACATTCATCTCACTACCTGCCTGCTGAGGCATCAAGCGCTCTTTCCTCTAAGGTCATCTCATCACACATGCTTTTCAGGGACTCAGATGGTTGCTAGGGGCTATGTGAGTGCCTACAGGCCCCAGAAATTCCCACCCAGTGTTGGGTTCTAATTGGATGATGGGTCAGGCCAGCCTGGTTCCCCACCCTATCACTTTCTCACATTCCACAACCTCAGGTTTCCAAGTGGAAGGGGGAATACTCCACCCTGGCTCTATGCATAGTCTCGGCAGTCATTCTGAGCCAAGTAGGAGTCAGGAGGGAAAATTTCCCCTAAATTCAAGGTACAGGGTTAGTTCTTGGGCATTTTGCTACCAAATGTTTGAGTGACAGATGGTTCCTGTGACTTGCTTTGTCAACCAATATATTAAATTCATCAACCTCAATGATAAATCCACCTATGTCCTCTGTTAATTCTAAGTGTCTTTCTCATTTTCTAAGCAGGAACAGAGTTTGTCAATGAATCTTTTATATAGGTCAACTTCAGAAGTATTTTAGTTCATTTATTCATACCAATGTAGACTCAGAGAAAACCAGTTTCCCTAAAACAGTACCTGGTATTTCCGGGCTCATCCAAATAACCTCTCTTCCATTGCTTCTTTGAAGGCAGCTGAAAGGCTGAACTGCTCCTTGTTTGTGCATCCCTGGGACATGCAAATGGATGGACGGATGGCCAAATACTGGCTCCCTTGGCTTGTAGGTTTGTGTCAGCATGGGGTTCAGAATAGATGACTAGCTCTTGAGTTTTTCCAATCATATATGGAACCCTATTATGTCAAAGACAGAATGAGTAATTAACAGGATTGTAATAGCAACTATTAGTAATGGGGCTCTTTCTCTGATAAGTGTTGTATATATTACCTCATTTGATTGTAATCAAGTCCAGTAAGATCTTGAATAAATCACATCATAAACAAAATATGTATGAGGGTACTTCTAAAAAGTTCACAGAAAATGGACAAGAAAGATCAGCTTATTTTTGTGCAAAAAGCTTTGAATTCCATGCATAATTTTTCCATTTTCCATGAACTCTTTGAAGAATACTAATATGCATGGATTTAAAAGTTTGTACCACCATTGAGATTTAATGCTATAACGAGTACTCAAACAGTATTTTTCACTTTGTGTTTCTATGTGGGTGCAAACTGTTGAAATCTTTACTTAATGTATACTAAACTGATCTTCTGTATATATAGAAAATTGAAAATGAATCTTGATATGAATGGAAAAGGGAGAGAGAGCGGGAAAGGGGAGGGTTGCGGGTGGGAGGGAAGTCATGGGGGGCGGGGGGAGCCAATGTAGTCCATAAGCTGTACTTTGGAAATCTATATTCATTAAATAAAAGTTAAAAAAAAAAACAAAGTTTGTACCAAAAGAAAAGATCTTTCAATTCCAGTTTTCCATGAACTTTGTGAAGTATCCTCATATTTAACCTATGAGGTTGACATTATAAAGAACATTTTACAGATGGAGAAACTGAATCTTGGAGAGGTAAGGAAACCAATGTATTTAGTAAGGCAGCTGCTTAAGCATCTGGAAGGAAGAAACAACTGAAGAGGCTCAGTGTTGTCCAGCTTTAAACAAACTCTCATCCTGATACTTCGACATACTTCGACAATCTTCTAGTTATTGCACTTTCCCACATCAAAAATTAAGATGAGCATTTGCATATAGTCATGTCATTATTAATTTATGTAATACAGACATACCAATGCCCTCTGGTATGCTAGGCCCTATACTAGCACTGAGGATTTAGACAGGAACAAAATCTCTGCCCTCATAGAACTTACATGTGCTGGTTAGAGAACAGAAATGATAAACAATGACTCAAGCGAAAAAACAAATAGTCAGCCAATTTCAGAATTTTATTCTGGATACAATGATGGTCTTAGTGGGTTGGAGGATTCCCAGCAGGGAAGCATCACGACCCAACTCACACTGTAAATGTAGCTTAACTTTTGGCTCCTGGATGGAAAGTGGATTGATGGGTATGGCTCAGATAATGGAGAGCAGAAGCTCAGGACTAGTTGGAAGTGATGATGTCCATGCACCCCCAGCCTTCACGAAGTTCTACACACAAGCCAGTCCCAGGTGGATCTGAACCCATCATGCTTCCAGAATTCCCAGGAAGCTTGGGAGCCAAGAGTGTCTCTGCCTCTGGAGTAGCAACGGGCACCCAGTGAAGCCTCATACCACAGCTGGAAGCATCAGGCTTCCAATGAAGGCCTGGGGCACAGCCACGCAGAGCTAGAGAGCTCAAAATCACAGTCTGAAAAGCACTCATCTGGCAAAGCAGTCCACAGCTCTAGTAGCATCACAAAGCATTCAAGATAATTCACTTTATCCCAGTTATTTTCAACTTCAGCTCCAAGAGGCAGCAAAGATTTGGCAAGAACAGAATAAGAGTTAATATCCAGTGAGCACTCACTGTCAGGTGCTGTCCACTGAGTGCTCAGAACAACTCCCTGGCAGGAACTCACTGTTATTACCCCTCATTTACAAATGGGGAAATTAAGACACAGGCAACTCATATTTGCTGAGTGACTACAATGTGAAGTTCCAACCAGGCGCTTCACTGATGTCATCCTTTGCGAGGCTCCATAGCAGACTTGCAGGATGGACAACACTGACCCCATTTCACAAGGCCAGCTCCAGGACACAGAACAGCTTGTCAAAAGCCAAGAGGCAGAAAACTGGAGGAGCTAAAGTTCAGCCTAGACTTACAGTGGTCTGCATCCAAAACTGAAGTAGCAGAGTCAAGACAAAGGCCAGGTCCTCTGTACACTCGGTTGTTCTGCCCATTAGACAACTCTCCCTGCAGTGGTAAATAGGAAGCTTCAGATGGGTCTCCTTGTGGAGTAATGACTTCCATTCACTCAGACCAGCCAGGGGCACAGAAGCCCCCTGTATCTTAGTACCAACAATTCCCCAGCCATCAGCTGACAGCACCCAGCATTAACGCCACTGAGCTTTATCTTGTTTGAAGTGACAAATCCTGAGCCTTGTGACTATCTCCTCTTTCAGGAATGCCTGCCGAGACTACCATGGCTGTTTGCTCCATGATCATGGGTGGAGTGTTTGAGAAGTTTCCTAAACTGAAAGTATGTTTCGCCCATGGAGGTAAGACTCCATCTGCATTAATCAGCTCAAGCTACCACAACAAAATGCAGATTAGGTGACTTACAACAGAAATGTGTTTTCTCACATTCTGGAGGCTGGAATTCCAAGATCAAGAGTTGGCAGCTCTGGTTTCTAGTGAGAGCTCTCTTCCTAGGCTGCAGATGGGCACCTTCTTGAATTCTCACATGGCCCTTCCTCTATGCATGCAGGGGAGGGGATAGAGGATAGGGAATCACAAAACAAAAACTCTTCCTCTTAGTAAACGTACATCAGTCCTGTTGAAGTACCATCTCATAATCTCATGTAACCTTAATTTTCTCCTTAAGGCCCTTCCTCCAAATACAATCACATTGGGGGTTAGGGCTTCAACATATGAATTTTTGGAAGGGATATAATTCAGTCCATAACATCCTTCCAGCCATGATGCTAGTCACATGATGTGTGAGTACCAAATTCTATTTTGGTAGGCAAGTTTAGTTTGGCTTGTACAGTTTTTTCTTTTTTTATTTAAATGCCTCTACTCAGACCATGCATTCTCCGGTCTGCAATGGTCCCCATCATTCTCTCATTTACAAACGGGCCTATTTCATTCATTTACACTGCCTGTCTCGTCCCTGTAGGTAAAGGAATTTGTGACTCTTGGACACACATGTGCACACATATACACTATCAAACTGTCTATGTTGTTCACTAACCTACTTTTGCTTCTCAATGGCAAAAAGAAAACACTTTTCCATGTTAGTAAACAGATCTCCATCTTTATTCATGCTTCCATGCACAGCATCACATTTTATGGCCACATCATCAGGACTCATATAGTCCCCATTGGATAGGTTGTCTGGGTATTTTGTTTTTTATAACCACGTTATATTTGAAACTCTTAACACATATCTTTAAACATTTGTCTTCTCTCTTAAGGATAAATTTTTCAAATCTGAATTTCTAGATTAGTTAATGTCATTTCTTCTGTTTCATCTCCCAGCATTTGGAACCCAGTAGTTCCTTTGTGAATCAAACATGATCTCTGTTAATCAACTGGACCTCTCATCACATATAACATAAATACTAGAAGAAATGCTTTCCAATCAACACTAGTCCTTCAGAAATGGTTTTTACCTACAGGTGGTGCCTTCCCCTTCACAGTGGGGAGAATCTCCCATGGATTCAGCATGCGCCCAGATCTGTGTGCCCAGGATAACCCAACTAACCCAAAGGAATACCTTGGTTCCTTTTATACGGACTCCTTGGTTCATGATCCTCGGTCTCTTAAGCTGTTAACAGATGTCATAGGCAAGGTAAGCCAGGTCTGCCATTTGGATGGCTTAGGGGGAGAAGACTGCAGGATAAACAATCGACTACTTGACCTGTCTCCAAAAGATGGATAATAGAGGAGTGGGCATTTGGGGTAGCAGTTAAGATACAAGCTGGGATTCCAATATCCCATAGTGAAATGCCTGGGTTCAAGTCCCCACTCCACACTTTATCCCAGCCTCCTGTTAATGCATATTCTGTAAGGAGTGTCAGTATTTGGGTCCCTGGAACTCATTTAGGATTGAGTTTCTGGTTCCTGGCCCAGCCTCAGCTTTTGCGGACCTTTGGAGAATTAACCAGTAAATAGGAAATACTATGTGTCCCTATGTCTTTCAAATGAATAAATGAAAATATTTAATAAAATGGATGGAAGCAAAGGCATTAGAAGAACGAAGAGGGACAGTGAGGCTTGGGATTAGGATTACTTGCATAGGAGATCCTCTTTAGGGTCTTCTTCAACACAGAGTGCATATCACCAGGATATGTATTATATAAGACCAAGAAAGCCTGGATAATCCACATAGATGGGTACTTCCCCAGATCAACTTCTCTTCTTAGGAGCTCATCCCAAATGACAAGTGCAATGTGGTAAGCAGAAAAAGCAATCAGTTCTCAGATTCAATTAACCTAGGTTACAATACTGGCTCAACCTTTTCCTAGTTGGTTAAATTGTTAATGCAACTGTCCTCATCCACTATATGGAGAGAGCAGAAACATTAAAGAGGGGGAAGTGCAAGGCTGAGAAAAAAGCACTGGACAGGGAGTCAGGGGAAAATGATGAAGATGGTCTCATGTGCCATGCCCTGAAATGCCTTCCTGGAACAACATGGCCTTGGTTTTGAAAATGGTTTTCTCATTTCATCAAAAGACCAGCACAGTGATACTTTAAACCTCTACGAAAAAGTATTTCTCTGTTTGGGTATGCTGGCAGATCTCCCTATTGGTAGCAACCCTCCCTTTAAGTAGGCTCTTCAAATGCTAACTCAGCAATTCGGACAATTTTCAGGGCAAATGTGAAGAGTGTGAAATTTTTAGTATTTAAATTGTTTTGCTACTTACAGATAACTATAGAAGGCTTCTTAATCTTCCCAAGGCAAAAATCTTTGGGGTTTTCAGAAGTATATGGAATAGTTAACTATTTACAATATTTTAAAAACCCTAGCGATTTTTAAAACTTATTTAGTAGAAAAAGAGGCTCTTCATTTGAAACTTGCAAGTAGTATTCCATCTTCAACATGGAGCCTTCATCTCTGGCTTGGGAAGAATCACTGGAATATAAATGCTATGTATTCTAGCTTACAGATTAATTACGTGGTTGAGCTGTGTTTCTTAGTCATCCAGCTTTGTTTTGTCCCTGTGAAGATGGGTGGTTAGCAGTTGGTTGTGACTACTGATTACTTCTTGTTTGCATGGGAGAGGAGGGAAGCAATGGGGAGATATGTAGGAGGGAAACTACAAAGGGGTGAAGCTCAAGGAGACTTTGTGGTCCTGGACTTTGAGCAATGGAGGAGAGGAGAAAGGTTAAGTGGTGTGGAATTGGGGGAAAGGTCATCCTCATTCTACCGCATCAAGCCAGGTACCTCCTCCTAATCTTGGAAATGGAAACAATAGGAGAAAATGCCCTTGGCAAATACAAGGCCCATCTTCTGAGGGACATCATCAGCAGTGAGGGGTACGAACAGCACCTTCAATCAGTGCTCAGGGCAGTGCACATTGGCAGGGGGCTGGAGCCCACAAAAGCAAGGCAAGCACCTCGTGGGAACCAGTGGATAGACCAGTCAGTGAGCACATGTGAGGAGACCCCTGCCTTGAACCCCTAGAAAAATTAAGGGAGCACTCTGCAAGGTTAATAGGATGAGATCTTGCATTCAAACTGCAAAGGCTTGGGCTTTTGCAATTTGGGCATCAAAAGTAAATGTGACCTCATTTTATGGGAACTCAAAAGCTAGAGGTTCCAGGACACAGAAGCAATATATATTAATAATTCAGAATTATCTTTAAAATACTAAGGCTTCCTCATTCTAGTTATATTCATTTGAGCAAATTCTCTTTCAAAGACAATCATCAAATCAACAGTGAAGGAACGTCCTAGCAGAACATCTGGACTAGGAAGCTACCTGTCCAGATTAGAGTAAGAATTCATAGAGCTGTAAGGGGAGGTCTCTAGGAAAGGAAAAGATGGAACTGATGGATTCTTGGGGCTGTCTGAGAACTGGAAATAATTATTGTTAGATACTTAGCAGAGCTGTTGATGTATTAGGAACAAATAAGCAGTACACACATAGAAAAGTATGCAAATGAAAAAAAAAGGAAATAATTAACTCCAAGAAAACAAAAGCTGTATGAGAATGGATAACTAGTGTATTATTTGACTCAGCAGTGAGCAGTGTTTATAGTCATAATAATGTAAATTCTAAAAAATGGTTTAAGTGACAATTATAATTCTATTGGGAAAACAGAGAAATTGGGGTAAGACCAGTGACCATAATGGGAAATCAGTAAATACTCTTGAAAGCTAACAACTTGAGAAACAATAGCCCAAGCTTATTTTCTGGGAATATGAAGGTAGTTATCAGAAGATGCAAGTTAAAATGGTAAAAGCAGCTGTTTGGGGGATGTGTGTTTGGAAAGTGGGCACACTTTCATAATAGAGACATTTTATCAATATCTGTTTAGCTAAATATAGATGTTGATTTGATAAATCAAAATTATAAACAATATCATAGGCTAAATCAATATATTCATGAAGGTTATTCAAAAAGTTTCTGGAAATACATATTATGAAAAAACTATACATGGATTTCAAAATTTTTTGTACCCAAATAAGTTTACTTTTTTGGTCCATTTTCCATTAACTTTAAAAAACAGATTTATTTCCTTATTTATTTCTGTTGAAAGGCAGAGTGTCAGAGAGAGTGAGCTATCCAGTAGTCCATTCCCCAAGTGCCCGCAACAGCTGGGGCTGGACCAGGCCAAAGCCAGGAGTCAGGAACTCCACCTGGGTCTCCCACATGAGTGGCAGGAACCCAGGTACTTGGGCCATGATCTGCTGCCTCCAGGAGTGTTAGCAGGAAGCTGGATCAGAAGCAGAAATAGGACCCCATTGCAGGTACTCCAGTATGGAATACAGGTGTCCCAAGCGGCAGCCTAACCCCATGTACCACAACACCAGCCCCTCCATGAACCTTTTGAAACACCATTGCATGTCAGATATGTAAACACCAAAACCATTCTGAGCACCTACTATTCCTAAAACACTATGCTATTTGGTAAAGGAGAACTTAAAGTACATAATGTGTTGGCATCCTTCCATGTCTAAAACTCTTTGATCTTCATCTATGTCTACTCATTTTTAAAAACACTTACAGAATCAGGGGCATCCCATATCAGAGTGCCAGTTCAAGTCCCCAGCTACTCTGCTTCTAATCAATTATCTGCTGATGAATCTGGAAGTCAACTAGTGAAAGATCCCTCTCTCTCTTTCTCTCTCTCTCTCTCACTCTGCCTTTCAAATAAATAAATAAATCCTTAGATGACAAAAACCTAAAAATAGTTGCAAAGAATGCTAATTACATGCTATTAGTTGATCACTATAAAAACATGAAAAAAGAAAACTATTCATGATCATAGAAAATACACTATATATATTTATATTTTTTAAAAGATATTTTATTTGAAAGTCAGAGCTACACAGAGAGAGGACAGACAGAGAGAGAGAGAGGTCTTCCATCCTCTGGTTCACTCCCCAGTTGGCCACAACGGCTGGAGCTGCGCCAATCGGAAGCCAGGAGCCAGGAGCCAGGAGCCAGGCGCTTCTTCTGGGTCTCCCATGTGGGTGCAGGGGCCCAAGGACTTGGGCCATATTCCACTGCTTTCTCAGCCAATAGCAGAGAGCTGGATTGGAAGAAGAGCAGCCACATCTCGAACCGGTGCCCATATGAGATGCCAGCGCTTCAGGCCCCGGTGTTAACCTGCTGCACCACAGCACCAGCCCCTACAAATATTTATATTTAAGTGAATACATTTTTTGAGAGGTCAGTCATCTGATACCTGTTATGGTTACATCAGAATGTTGGCTAGCCACTGATAATCTATTACTGCATTTATAATTATCCTAATACGTAGTGGCTTAAAACAATAAACATTTAAAAGAGCACTTCAAAAAGCTCATGGAAGATGCAGATTACATAAAAACTATACATGGATTTCCAATTTTTTTGACAATTTTTTTCAAACTTGCATTTCCATTTTTCCTTCAAGTTTTTGACGTTTCCTCATATTATTTCTCATGGTCTCCGTGTCAGGAATTTCAGAGCAGCTTAACTGATTCAAGGTCTCTCAAGAGGTTGCAAGCATAGTGTCAGTCAGGACTGCTTAAGCAGGGCTAACAGATCCACTTCCAAGGTGGCTTTTCCCTATGATTGGCACACTGGTACTGGGTGTTGGCAGGAGGCCTCAGTTTCTCCCTAGGTGGGCTTCTCCACACAGCTGCCCAGGAACCCTCACAACGCAGCAGCTGGAATCCCCCCAGACTGAGTGCGCTGATGAAATGGAGAGTGGGATGGACAGACAGGCAGAGATGGAGCACGTGTGAGGCAGGCTCTACCCTTTTTATGACCTACACTCAGACGCCACACAGCACAGCTTCTGCCACACTTTATGCATCAGAAGTAAGCACTAAATCTATCCTACACTGAAGGAGAGTAGAATGAGGCACCACCTCCAAGAGGAAGGAACTGCAAAGAATCGGAGGACATTTTAAAACTACCACATTCCCTCCTGTGGCCATAAATTGTTTATGCAAAAAATCCTTACCCCTACCTAGACTGCCTCAAAAGTCTCATCCATTCACAGCACCTAGACTTCAAAGTCTAGGATCTCGTTTTGTGGGGAGCAACTGAAACTAGACTAAGTTCTGGAATTAAGACTTATTCTATGCATCTGCTCTCCCACAATATGGCGCTGGGGAGGAGTAAACTTCTAC